TATATAGCTGCTCCGGGGGCTCGTCCATCACCAGCTGCAGGCAGGTGGCCTTGTCCTTGTGCCACCCCGTAATCTGGAGCAGCCGGGTCCCCCCACGGCTCGCCTTCCAGAAGCCCTTGCAGAACCTGCACATGTAGCCCCCGGTGGTCTTGAACTTCTCCTTGCCCACCACTTCCCATGCGCTGATGCTGGGCAGGACCAGGCCGCACTCCACCGAGGCCCAGAACACGTGCTTGGTTCCCACCGGGAAGTGCTTGTTGGTGTACTTCTTGCCCGCGACTGCCGTGACCGTGGACGTGGTGATCGGGGGGTACCTTCTGGTGCCCTGGTCCGGCGTGCGGAGCGTGGTGTCCGCTCCCGCCAGAATCTTGGCCTTGGGGTCCGATTCCTTGGCCGCCCCGCCCCCGGGGCCGGAGGCACCCAAGGGGGGGGAGCAGCCCAGCTGCATGATCAGGTCCTGGGAGTAGCCCAGACGGTCGTAGCCGCCTCCTGCGGGACCGGCTCCACCCAGTCATGGACCACGTTGCACCGCCAGTTGACCTTGATCTCCACCATGGAGGACTTACTCAGGCCTGCCACCAGTTTGGTGTACACCGAGTCAAAAGCCCTCAACGATGACAGCGGGAGCGTGATGCGCTCGTCACAGACCGCCCTGAAACGCAGGGCCTCCTTGCTGTCGTGGACAGGGGCCACTGGGAGCTCCATCACCGGCAACGGGCAATTGACGATGAAGTTCTTGGCTGCCAGAAACGTCCCCATCTCCTTAAAGATGTAGCTCCATTCCGCCTTCGTGCGCGGCTTGGGGATTCCCAGGCTCTCCAGGAAGGGGACCGCCTCCTTCCGCATCTGGAGGATGTTCCCCATCCACTTATCCGAAGTCGAGCCCTCCGCATTGCGGCCCCGTCGCTGCGTCTTCACGACCAGTGGGAATGTGGTCCACGCCGAGTAGATGTACTTGAAGGTGAATCGGTGGGCGTACACCCCTGTCAAGCTCGGCAGGTCCCACGTGCGAGTCTGCCTTGTCCAAAACACGCCATCGCCCTTAGCCCAGAAGATCCCCACCACCTGCTCCGGCGCCGGGCGCTCACCCCGGTTCACCTGCGCTCGGATCTCCAAGGCCGAGTAGATGGGTCGATGTGGTCCCGCTCACACGTGAGTGGGTGGGTCCTGCGCTCCAGGGCCAGGAGCTCCTCCGGCGAGAGCTTGAATTGCTGGTCCGCGCCCTTGGGGATTTCGCCGCTGGAATGCTTCTTCCAGATTCCCCCAAACATCCGCAGCTCCCCTTGGTGCCTCTTCATCGCCCAGAGGAGCAGGGACAGCTTCCCCTCCTCCGTGTCCAGGTTTGGCTGGTTTATAAGGGGGGCCGGCGTCGCCAGATCGGGCATCTCCTCCAGCAACGCCTCCTGGTTCCACGGGTTCTGTGCCTCTCTGAGCCTCCGGATGTAGGGGACGTACTTCTCCTTGATGTCCCCCACGTTGGGGATGTCCTCGGGGTCATCCAGCTCCAGGGGGCAGAACAGCCCCCTCTCCAGAGCCTGTCTGAGGTCATCTGGCCATGCCGACACCTCCAAGGGCTGGAGGGTGTGGTTAAGCATCCATGCCTGGTTGGTGTCCTGGGTGCCTCCTGAATGGAGCCCATCGCATCAGCCAGTGCCTGGCTGGCGTCGACACCCTTACCCTCCAGGTACTGATCTCGTAGCTTGGCCTTGAACCGCTCCAGATTTAACCTTCCTCAGGGCCCGGGCTCCCTCGTTGGCCACCTCCTCTGCCGGCAGGGCCTGCATGCCCTCCTGGAGAGGCGCCAGGATTGCCATCTCATTGTCCAGCATTTCATCCGTGATCAGCTCCTTGTGCCGCTGCCTGGCCGATGACTCCTCCGGGGTCGGTTCCCGGTGCTCCCTCAAGGCCTTGTGCAGCTCTTCCTTCTTCCGAATCGCCTGGTCCACCTGGGGGTGGTAAAGCTGGAAGCTCTGAGCCTCTGCCTCCTGCAAGGACCGCTGCACCTTGACCTTGACCTCCTGGCGCTCCCGGACCTTCAACGCCTCCATGGACAGGATCTCCTGCCGGATATCCACCCGCCTGTTAAGCGGGACCACATCAGCCATGGTGATCTCCTCTGCCGTGTCCGTTTTCGGAGGAGCTCTCCCCAGGATCGTGCCGTCCACCAGGTTGCGGTCTGCCTGCACCCGGGTACCACCGGGGCCAGAGGCACCCAGGCTTCCCCCATCCCGCTGCTGGATCCAGGTCGGCTTGCCCTCCACAATGAGCAGGTTGTACGTGACGCCGTCCGCCTCGTAGGTCGCAGAGGGTGCCTGGAAGGGGACAAACTCCTTGCCCGGGCAGACCCAGCATTGATTGGCTGCCTCCGGCCATCCCGTGCCGCATGCCTTACACATGAATTTGTAGTCCGATTGGCCGGCATCGAGTCTGTGCATCCGCTGGGTGCCAATGCATGCCTTATTCCGCTGGAACTGTGAGGCCCAGACCTCCTCCTGCCGGATCTGGATCTTCATCGGAACATAGGCCTCCAGGATGCGGACCACCAAGTCCTCCGTGAGATTCTTACCGACAAACTTGTGGAACAGGGAGACCGCCTCCTCCACCGTGACGTCCCTCAACAACGTGGCCGCCGATGCCGGAAGGACCGGGAAGAGGTCTGGGAGGTCCACTAGCTTGAAATAGCCAGGACGGCCATCCACCGGTACCAGGGAGACCGGTTTGTTCACCGGGGTCGTGGTCTTCTGGGAGGCCGCCACAAAGCCCTTCAGCCTCTTCGTTGGTGGAGTAGCCCGCTCCGTGGTGACCGCATCGCTCATCTCCGTGTCCTCGTCCTCGACGGGGCCAGGGGCACCCAGGCCGGGAGTCGGTGTGGAGAAGGCCACGCGGAGTCGCTCCAGTGCACTGGAGAGGTCGTTCATCACATCGGTGGCCGATGCCGACGGGGGCGCCTCGGGCTCATCCAACACCAGGCCGGCCGCCACAGCCGCCTCGCGTGTGCGGGCTTCCTGGGCCTCCTGGCTGGCCATTTCCACCTCCTCCGCGGTGAGTGCCTGGTCCTCAATCAACTCAAAGGACGTTGCCGAAGTTGCTGAGGAGGCCATTGCTGGTTCGGGGTTGTTTCGGAAGTGCTACCTTTCAAGTTTTTCCACAAAGTTGGGTTCAGAGAACCCAATATCCAGGCTTGAGCCAAAATGGCCGGGGCCATTATGGTCAAGCATTTCAAACACAGTTCATGTTTCCACATGCGTTTCAACATTAACAAAAAAAACCTAGCAGGTGAATTTCTAGACTTTTCCGTCTGAAGTAGGTCGAAGCGGACGAAAACCAGAGCTTCATTCAAGACTCTGGCTTTTTAGCAGAAGCAACCCTAGTTGCTCCCAAACATTGCAGTAGGAAGTCGGGCCCGAGGGCGCCAGTGAAAGGATGCAATGCTGGGCGCGTGGCGCAATTGGTGCTGGCTGAGGATTGGTTTAGAGTTGGTTTACGGTTTGTTTAAGGTGGGTTTAGCGTGGGGTTAGTGCTGGTCTAGAATGAGTTTAGGGTTGGTTTACGGTGGGTTTGCGGTTTGTCGGTTTAGGGATGGTTGGTTGGGGTGATTTTGGGTAGGTTTGACCTTGGCTTGACCCTCTTTGGATGTGTATTAAGAGAGCGTGTGTGTTCCTTCCTTCTGCTGTCCGATTGAAAAAACACGCCACCCGCAGGTTCCTTCAACCCCCCAAACGCCAGAGCCGAGCTTCTTTCACAAACCCCTCGCCCCGCTCTCCCGTTTCCCAAACGTTCGACCCCATGTGTGGCCTTCAGCCCATGGGGTTGCCATGCCGAGTTTCACCTCCCTTCCGGTTTCAAATCAACCCCTGGCTTCCACCCTTTAAAGATGTCAACCAGCCCAAAAACCCGAAGCTTGGGTTTTGGGAGGTTGGGGGTTGGGGGGTTGGGAGGGGTAACCCCATGATTGTAATAGCTGTGCATGGACACCTCCCTGCTTGCTTCTTGCCAACGTTGCTTTGTCCTCCAGTTGCTTAAGGCCCCTGGAAAACATATTTCCAGTAGTGACAGATTCCCTTTAACACCAACAGTGGAAAACCAGAAGATGTTCATTTCAGCGACTAGAAGTTATGGCAACATAGATCAGCAGTTGATCCCCTCAGAACCCCCGTGCCCAAAAGCCAGCCAGTTGCAACATAACCCCCCTTCAAGGGATGCCCACCTCATTCAGAACGGGGTTTCTTCATCAGGGGCTCACTTCCTGGGTGGATTCGCCAAAAGAAAGGTCCCACAAACTTAATTGCGTGCCACTAGAATGGTCCGTCCTCCCAAAAAGCGAAACCCAAGTCTGCAAACCGAACTCAGGCTGAGTGAGGGGGTCGTAACATTACTAATGGGCTGTCTTCAGATCCCCTGCCGCAAGTTTTGACTGTTCGTGGCATACATATGGACACCATTGGACACCCAACCACCTTTCACGAGCTAAAACCGTGCTAAAAAATCTAAGCTGAACCGGACGATTCGCTGGTTGAACCACCAAGAGTAAATCGGGACTTCCATTTGCTTCAGCCGCCTGGGATAAAAGAGCAACTTTGTCCAGTCGGAAATAGATTCCCCTAACACCAACAAGGGAACATTCAAAAAGAACATCTTCATTTCAGCAAATGGAAGTTGTGGTAACCTCAGATGCCCAGTTTCCAAGGGGAAAACAAGGGCATCCGTTTTTGGTTTGCTTGAGTTTAAAGGAATCGGAACCCAACACCCCCCTAACAAAAAATATATGTTGTTTTTTTTGAAAAGGGGGCGGAAACTCGACTAGGCAACAGTGGGCAACCAGTTGCTCATCTCTCAACAACGACGCTTTTTCTCGTTTTTGATGCTCTACTAGGTCCTCCAGCAGAGAGGTTGAATAAGTTGGTACCAACTGTTGTTTCCTATTTTTGTAGGGGAACCCAGAACCCCAACCAAAAGAGGGGTGAGAAGGGCACCGGGGCACCTAGTCTGAGGCCCCAGACTTCGGAAGCATCGCCATGTCCTCGCTGGGCCTCAGTGGCGGGGGCAGCCCTGGAAAGGAGGTGCCCAGCAAGGCACCGGAGGGGGTCAAAAGCCACAGAAGTTGCCACCATCAACCACACAAATGGGTATGGGTCAAAACTAAACCAGGAATCGGACCGCAGAAAGCCATTCAAAAGCCACAATTCTTCACCTGGTTCTGGGATTACGACCGTTTGACTATGACCGCAGGCTGAAATGTCCATGTTTCCATTTACCAGGGCAAGCCGTTTTAGGTACCATGTTTTTGACCCACACCCAAATCACCACCATTTCAGTCCACTCAAACCAGCAAAATTTTGCTCAGGATTTCGGGGTTTGATAGCAGCTCAGGGGCGCCTGATAATTACCACGAGCAATTCCTGATATACTCAACCCATGTCAGGATCAGCTGAGACATCGAAGTCCGTTCCGAGAAAGCAAAGCGAAGCGGTCCGCGGTGGCACTTCGTCAACCTGCGCCCTTGTCACTTGCTGAAGAAACGAGCGTCCCGCGGCTCGTTCGCGGCTCGCTCGCGGACAAAAATGGGTGGGCAAAAACCAACCAAAGACCTTTCGGTGGCTTCGGCGTTGGGTGCCTTCCCCCTTTGGCCCTGGAACAAATCCAAACCGGCCGCAAAGCAAGCTGAGTTGGTTCGCTCGGGCTCAGTGGTGCAGGCAACGGGAGGCGAAGCTTTGAGAGCCCCGCCCGCTTTCTGGGCTTAACGGGATGCCTTGGGAAGAGTCCGAAGAAACAACAGCTCAGCTGAGTTGCCGGCATCTAGCAAAGGAGAAGAAAAAAAGGCACATCGATGCAAGAAGTTCAAATGAAATTGTCTTGCGAGATCCGCAAACGTCTCAGAGGGCAACTGGGTCTGTGCAAGATGCCCTAGAAATAGTTTGGATGCGTTGTTTCAAGCCATTCCCTAGACGCCACGCCTCCATTTGCTCAAGTCCCTCCACAAAGTATAACAAAAACATATCTAATAATAGATTCCCTTTTAAACCAACAGGGGAAGTAAACTGCAAGGAAACCCAAAAGGAACACACATAATCTTGGGGGGTCCCCTCAAAAAATTGGCCCACCCAACGACACCGGCAGCACGGAACGAGCGCCCCCGCCAGGCGAGGTGCAAGAGCCCCTCGAGCCTGGACTTCCGAGATTTAATCCGCCGACATTGTTCGGCGTGTCGGATACCTAAGAGAGGACTATTGGATACCTAAGAGAGGATAGAGGATAACCCCCCCCTTAGTCCCCCCCGCCGCCTCTTTCTGCCGGCTGAGGTTTTGTGCTGCCTTTTGCGGAAAACTTTGAGACACACGGTGTTCGGTGTTTTTCCTTTGCTGACACCATTGAAGAAAAACATTGTGTTTTCCGATTTCCTTGACAATTGGCACAAATTTCCCCCCAATTTCCCCTAATTTCCCCCAATGCTTCCCCGCAAATTGCGCCTTACTTTCTCACCAATTCCCTCCCACTTTCCTTTCAATTTCCATCCGACTTCCCCCCAATTTCCCCCCCTGTTTCCCCCAAATGTCCTGGCAAATTCTCCAACCCCAGCTTCCTTCCAAGTGTCGCCCCCGATGTCCTTCGTGTCGGATACTTGGCCGCAGTTCCGCTCCGCAGTTCCAAGTGTCCCCCACATTTCCGCTCCGCAGTTCCCCCTTAAAAATCAGCTCCACTGCTGTTCAGTCCCTCAAAAAAGGCTGGTCTTCCATTTGCAGAACGTCCCCCGAAAAGATTACACATTTTTACACTACTGCCACAGGATAACAACACATAGGAAGCAAGTGAAGTAACTGATGAAATCATGATACCACCTTCGAAATCCGAGAACTTTTCCTGTATCCAACTGGTCAGCACTGAAACTGCAATTCCACATTTCCGCTCCCAGACTTGCCATGCTAAGCCACGCTTCTCGCAAGCAAGAATGCCATACAAGGGGCAACCTCAACACCCCTCAGAAATCAGCTTATCCGCGCACCCCGCCAAAATGACATGCAGTGGCCATGACATACCACCCAACACTAAGGTGCCCTAAGCATACTAGGGGGACACGGGCGAGAGGAAGAAGGAGATAAGCTAGATGCCAATGTCGGCGGACTGAGCCGGAGGCTCTAAAGTATGGACTTCCGACTCTCCTCAAAAGTTGAAAGAACGATGGTTGAAAAAGAATGGGGAAACAACCCCTAGAATTTTCAGGGGTTTCATATTTTTTTGCAGGTTGAACAGGGATCCTTTATACCCCTGAACATTGCAACTTGTAAATGGTGGTTTCCAACTTTATTTTGGTGTTAAGAAGCAGAGACACGTTCAAATCCAAATCCAAACCACCAATCCAAACCACCAAATAGGAGTTGCCTGAGATTTACTTGCCCTGAAATCTGCGGACCCTGCCAAAAATGGTTTGCCCCAGTGGAGAACAAAGGGGACAGCAAGGGTCAAAAAGGGGAGTTCAGTCTGGGGAAGTTTACTGGTGGTGTCCATTGAAATGGCCACTGGTTCCAAAAAAGGAACGGGAGGAAACCCCGCCTCACTTCCTGAGTGGCTGAGAAAAGTCGGCAAACTCTTTGTGCACCACTCAAATGGTCGAAGCAAAAAAAAGCTTTCAAGTCCAGGAACCCCGACATTTGAGCCTCGGGGTACAAGGGGGGTAGGGGCAGCCCGTCTCGGGTTCCTGACTTTTAGTTTAGGTTCCTTCGCCCCCTTGGTCCACGTCCCCAAAGGACTCAAGCCGCTGGAGTTGCATGGCTTGGAAACTGTGCCAGTGCCCCGAGACCTCGAAGCGGAGAAGATCCTCCAGACTTGAGAGGTTAGAAGAAGTTGGTGCCCGATTTTTTTTTGGTCGTCTTTTTTGGTAGGGGAACCCTCCCCAACAAAAAAAGTGGGAGACCTCGGTGGGGAAGATCCCACAAAAGAAGAAGATTGGATCGAAGCCCTTCTGGGGGGCGGGGCGCCAACTCCGTTTCGGCTCACCGGCTCACAGCCCATGAGGAAGATAGCAAGCATGGGGGAACTTACTGTCGCATCTCTCAGTGGTTCAGCGACCCTGGACAAAAAAGAATTGGAACCGATGCTTTTTTTTGGGAAGACCATTTTGGTGGGGCAGCCACCCGAAAAAAAGGGAAAGAGGGGGCCACTGAATAACTGAGATCTAACTTGGACCCCCCCAAACACTCGCAGTCGGAATACGTTGGAGGACCAAAAAGCGTAGACTTTAGTGGTAGTTGATCCGGCCATGAGTCAAAACCCAAATCGTACCCGCAGTGAACATCCCAATCCCCACTAAAATAGGTACTAAAATGGGCTATCCCAAAACGGTACCATTGGTTTTGAACCATGGTTGATCCGACACGTCAGCAATTTGGCTGTAGTGGAAATCAATTGTGTCCAACATAGAGGGACCCAACATGGCGGGATTTACAGTTGGTGTCCCTTTAAATCAAGAAAAAGGGTACCCTCAAAACTCAAACGCGCACACAAACATGAGCCTTGAATCAACACCACGCGCCGAGAGAAATCACCCTAGTCTAAAGGTCACAGGCAGAACCACCCCGCCACACCGAGGCCAGCACCAAACCACCGTGAAGAAGAACGCGGCGCAGGCGTAGGGAAACTGGCCCAAAAAGGGCGAGTCAACTCGCGGGTCAAATTCTGATGAATTCGGCTCGGTGCCTTGAAGCCTTTACATTTGGATGGGGTTCTTAAAATCACATTTGGAGGGGTTCTCTCAAATCAGAGATTTTGATGCAAGGGAAACCTAGAGTCGTGCATTTCATGTACCAGGGTTTGGGTGTTGTCGGATGCAGCCCTGTAGACTGCCGCATGGTAGGATCAGGAAATCAGCCGTTTGCGACACGACTCTTCTTGATCCCCGGGAATATGATTTGTTGGTCAACTCATCTACCGAAGCCCCGAATCAGTGAAGTCCTCAGTCCAAAACAAGCGATGCCCCACAGAAACAGTGCTCAGACATGGTCCACGTTTCCTAAGCGGCCAAATATGTTTTCCAAGTCGAGATTGCGGAGGATTGCCGAAATCAAGACAAGCAAACTACCGCACACCATGGAACCGATGGAACCTAAGGGCTGGTTGAGAGGTGTTGCCCCAAACTGCGCTAAACAACTGCACCTCCTTCTTCTTCACTCCTTCCAAACAAACTGAAGATCAAGTGTTCCATCTGCGGCTGGAAAGCCACAGTTCGAACTCGGTTTCTGCACCAGAACTCCAAAACACCAATCTCTTGTGCCGCTAGACAAATATCCGCCGACCCCTTCTCCTCGAAGGGGGAGGCGTACGGGAAGGGCGGTTACAAGTCCAAGCCTGGCTGGTAAATGAGCATAACCGAAGATTCAACATCATCATCATCATCATCATCATCGTCATCATCATCATCATCGGCGTGGTGGTCCTCGCCGCTGACCTTATCTTGATTATCATGATGACTGCTGGTGATGCTGAGGATGCGTCATGATGATTATCATGTCAGTTCATCATCATCATCATCATCATCATCAGCATCACGGTGCTCATCATCATCAGCTTCTTCGTCATCGTCCTTATCTTTTTTATATACGTTTCAAGTGTCCCGTTAGACCCGATTCGAGATGCAGAAGATGCGCGGACATCATCAGCATCATCATCACGGTGCTCATCATCATCATCTTCTTCGTCATCATCCTTATCTTTTTTATATACGTTTCAAGTGTCCCGTTAGACCCGATTGGAGATGCAGAAGATGCGTGGACATGATTATCATGATGACTGCTGGTGATGCTGAGGATGAGTCATGATGATTATCATGTCAATTCATCATCATCATCATCATCAGCATCATCACGGTGCTTATCATCATCATCTTCTTCGTCATCGTCCTTATCTTTTTTATATACGTTCAAGTGTCCCGTTAGACCCGATTTGAGATGCAGAAGATGCGCGGACATGATTATCATGATGACTGCTGGTGATGCTGAGGATGCGTCATGATGATTATCATGTCAGTTCATCATCATCATCATCATCAGCATCATCATCACGGTGCTCATCATCATCATCTTCTTCGTCATCATCCTTATCTTTTTTATATACGTTTCAAGTGTCCCGTTAGACCCGATTGGAGATGCAGAAGATGCGTGGACATGATTATCATGATGACTGCTGGTGATGCTGAGGATGCGTCATGATGATTATCATGTCAATTCATCATCATCATCATCATCAGCATCATCACGGTGCTTATCATCATCATCTTCTTCGTCATCGTCCTTATCTTTTTTTATACGTTTCAAGTGTCCCGTTAGACCCGATTTGAGATGCAGAAGATGCGCGGACATGATTATCATGATGACTGCTGGTGATGCTGAGGATGCGTCATGATGATTATCATGTCAGTTGGTGTTCATCATCATCATCATTCTTCGTCATCGTCCTTATCTTTTTTTATATACGTTTCAAGTGTCCCGTTAGACCCGATTTGAGATGCAGAAGATGCGTGGACATGATTATCATGATGACTGCTGGTGATGCTGAGGATGCGTCATCATGATTACCATGTCAGTTCATCATCATCATCATCAGCATCATCACGGTGCTTATCATCATCATCTTCTTCGTCATCGTCCTTAAATCTTTTTATACGTTTCAAGTGTCCCGTTAGACCCGATTTGAGATGCAGAAGATGCGTGGACATGATTATCATGATGACTGCTGGTGATGCTGAGGATGCGTCATGAGTTGGTGTTCATCATCATCATCATCTTCTTCGTCATCGTCCTTATCTTTTTTATATACGTTTCAAGTGTCCCGCTAGACCCGATTTGAGATGCAGAAGATGCGTGGACATGATTATCATGATGACTGCTGATGCTGAGCATCATCATCATCATCATCATCATCATCATCATCATCACGGTGCTCATCATCATCAGGTTCTTCGTCATCGTCCTCATCTTATTTTTTATATACGTTTCAAGTGTCCCGTTAGACCCAATTTGAGATGCAGAAGATGCGAGGACATGATTATCATGATGACTGCTGGTGATGCTGAGGATGCGTCATGATGATTATCGTGTCAGTTCATCATCATCACTAATCAGCATCGTCATCACGGTGCTCATCATCATCATCTTCATCGTCCTTATCTTTTTTATATACGTTTCAAGTGTCCCGTTAGACCCGATTTGAGATGCAGAAGATGATTATCATGATGACTGCTGGTGATGCTGAGGATGCGTCATGATGATTATCGTGTCAGTTCATCATCATCATCATCATCAGCATCATCATCACGGTGCGCGTCATCATCATCTTCTTCGTCATCGTCCTTATCATTTTTTATATACGTTTCAAGTGTCCCGTTAGAAGGTCTAACGGCACAGTTGAAATGTACATGAAAAAGAAGAGCGCCACATGATGAGGAACATGATGATGAGAATGATGATGAACATGATGATGATGAACCTGATGATGATGATGAACATGATGATGAAAATGATGATGAACATGATGATGATGAAAATGATGATGAACATGATGATGATCATGATGATGATGATGACGATGATGATGAACATCACCATCATCATCAGCGTCATCATCATCATTTTCACGTTCATCACATCCCCAGCATCTGCAGCAGTTACCATGACAATCATGACAACGCATCTTCTGCATTTCCAGTCGGGTCTAACGGGACACTTGAAACGTATATAAAAAAGAAGAGCGCCACGGTTTGATGATGAACATGATAAGGAACATGATCCTGCTTTCTTGTCATGTTCATCATGAGGATGCGCATCGGGATGATGATGATAAACATGATGAGGAACATGATGATGCAAATGCTGATGCCGATGATGAACACGATGATGATGATGATGATGAATATGATGACGATGATGATGATGATGAACATCATCACTTTCATCATCATGTCCATCATGATCATTTTCATCATGTTCATCATCATCATCATCACCATCATCATTTTCATCATCATGTTCCTCAATATTTTCATCATCGTGTCCATCATGATCATTTTCTTCATGTTCATCATCATCATCATCACCATCATCATTTTCGTCATCATGTTCCTCATTATGTTCATCATCATCATCATCCTATCACTGCACATCCTCAGCATCACCAGCAGTTAGCATCATCCCCAGCATCAGCAGCAGTTGTCATGACCTCTGCATTTCCAGTCGGGTCAGAAGAGCGCCGTCATCATTTTCAACATCATGTTCATCATACTTGTTGCTTGAATTTGTACCCGTTTGATCAACACACCACTACTCCATCATCATAATCATCATTTTCATCATCATGATCATCATCATTTTCCTTTTCATCATCATCAGCAGCAGTCATCATGACAATCATGACAACGCATCTTCTACATTTCCAGTCGGGTCTAACAGGACGAACATGATGAGGAACATGATCGCTTACTTATCATGTTCATCATGAGGATGCGTAGTGATGATTATTCATCATCGTCATCGTCATCATCATTATCATTTTCATCATCATCATCATCATGTTCATCATCATCATCATCATGTTCATCATCATCATGTTGATCATCATCATTTTCATCATCATGTTCATCATCATCATCATGATCATTTTCATCCTCATCCTCATGTGCATCATCATCATCATGTTCATCATCATCATCATCATCATCATCATCATCATCATCATCATCATCATCATCATCATCATCATCATCATCATTTCACGTTCATCACATCCCCAGCATCAGCAGCAGTTATCATGACAATCATGACAACACATCCTCTGCATTTCCAGTAGGGTCTAACGGCACACTTGAAACGTGTATGCCACAGCCCGAAGGCTGTGGCAGCCACAGCCCGAAAGCTGTGGCGGCTACAGCCCGACGACTGTACCAAAGCCACAGCCCGAAGGCTGTGGCAGCCACAGCCCGAAAGCTGTGGCGGATACAGCCCGAAGACTGTACCAAAGCCACAGCCCGAAGGCTGTGGCAGCCACAGCCCGAAAGCTGTGGCAGATACAGCCCGAAGACTGTACCAAAGCCACAGCCCGAAGGCTGTGGCAGCCACAGCCCGAAAGCTGTGGCAGATACAGCCCGAAGACTGTACCAAAGCCACAGCCCGAAGGCTGTGGCAGCCACAGCCCGAAAGCTGTGGCAGATACAGCCCGAAGACTGTACCAAAGCCACAGCCCGAAGGCTGTGGCAGCCACAGCCCGAAAGCTGTGGCAGATACAGCCCGAAGACTGTACCAACGCCACAGCCCGAAGGCTGTGGCAGCCACAGCCCGAAAGCTGTGGCAGATACAGCCCGAAGACTGTACCAAAGCCACAGCCCGAAGGCTGTGGCAGCCACAGCCCGAAAGCTGTGGCAGATACAGCCCGAAGACTGTACCAAAGCCACAGCCCGAAGGCTGTGGCAGCCACAGCCCGAAAGCTGTGGCACATACAGCCCGAAGACTGTACCAAAGCCACAGCCCGAAGGCTGTGGCAGCCACAGCCCGAAAGCTGTGGCAGATACAGCCCGAAGACTGTACCAAAGCCACAGCCCGAAGGCTGTGGCAGCCACAGCCCGAAAGCTGTGGCAGAGACAGCCCGAAGACT